TAAGTGAATTGATAGCCTGATGAAATTTTTTTAGGCTTCAAACTACTCAAGATACAAATCTTTTCCTTATGACTCGGACACCCAAGAACTTCATATTTCATTTCTAGTTATCACCGGCAATGCGTATCCCAGTTTGCTCCCTCTCTGGATTGTGATTGGTATATCAAGAGTTATCAACAAGACAGTGACGCAGAGACCAATCTTGGTGATCTGTCTCTACATCCTCTGCCTCTACATCATCTACATCGTCAGGACTACCTCTACATCATCGGTCGGATGCCATGCTTGTCTACCATCCTCCTGAGGTATTTCATCGAGTCCGTCAAGAGGTCACATTTCGAGCACTTTATCCAATCGTCGATATGATCCTCCAGGGTTGGCGTCGCTATCACCACGTCGTCCATATAACACATTACCACGTTACCATTTTTCTTGGTTACTCTTGTCAGTGCCTGTGACATCAGTCGCTGAAATGTAGCTGTCGCGTTGCATACGCCCAATGGTATCCTCTTCCATTGAAACAATCCCAGCTCGTCAGCAAACCTCGTTTTGTCTCTATCTTGTTTTTTAGTGGTACCTGACAAAAGGCCGACTCCAGGTCAAGTGTTTAGAAAACCTTGGCATCCCCCAATAATTTTGAAAGGCTCTCGTCTATCCTCGGGATGGGGTAAGCATCCTTTATTGTGACGGATTTCAGATATCAAAAGTCCATTTCTTTTGGCCATCACTACTTTACACACCCAGGGTGACTTGGATTGTTCTATCAAGTCATACTCTAGCGACGTTTTTTTATTTCTTTTCTACATGCATCCAAATTATGTGGAGTAAAGCGCCTCGCCCCCTCCCTGTGCAGTACCACCGACTTCTCTAGTTCTATTCCATGCTCAACGAAATTACAGCACTCGATATCCGCTTTGTGTCTCGAGAAGACGTCCTGATTCCTATCAAAAACATCTTTGTTGGTTTTGAGCTGTTGGTTCGTTTTTTTCTTAAGTGTTCAATTTCTGTTAGTATCGGTTTATCCATTTCAAATTCTTCTGGTGTGGGTTTTTCTGGAAAATTCGAGCAGCTCGACAGTCCAACTCCTGTTTGTGACTTAAATGAATTGATAAGCCTGATGAAATTGTTTTACGCTTCAAACTACTCAAGATATAATTCTTGTTCTTACGATTCGGACACTCAAGAACTTCATACTTTTTAACATTTCATATATAGTTATCACCGGAAATGCGTATCCCAGTTTCCTCCCACTCTGGATTGTGATTGGTATATTAAAGATAATGAACAAGACACTGACGCAGAGACCACTCTTGGTGATCTGCCTCTACATCATCTACATTGTCAGGACTACCTCTACATCATCGGTCGGATGCCATGCTTGCCTACGATCCTCCTGAGGTCTTTTATCGAGTCCGTCAAGATCTAACATTTCGAGCACTTCATCCAATCGCTCGATATGATCCTCCAGGGTGGCGTCGCTATCACCACGTCGTCCATATAACACATTACCAAATTATCATTTTTCTTGGTTACTCTTGTCAGTGCCTGTGACATCAGTCGCTGAAATGTAGCTGTCGCGTTGCATAGGCCGAATCGTTTCCTCTTTCTTTGAAGCAATCTTAGCTCGTAAGCAAACCTCGTTTTGTCTCTGTCTTGATTTTTGGCGGTGCCTGCCAATAGGCCGGCTCCAGGTCAAGTGTTTAGAAAACCTTGGCGTCCCCCAAAAATTTTGAAAGGCTCTCGTCTATCCTCGGGATGGGTTAAGCATCCTTCATTGTGACGGAGTTCAGTTATAGAAAGTGTCAACAAAATCTCAGTTGATCTCCTTTACTTTTGGCCATCACTCTTTTACACGCCCAGGGTGACATGGATGGTTCTATCAAGTCATACTCTAGCAAAGTTTTTATTTCTATTCTACATGCATCCAATTTTTGTGGGGTAAAGCGCCTCGCCCCCTCCCTGTGCGGTACCGCCGACTTCTCTAGTTCTATTTCATGCTCAACGAAGTTACAGCACTCTACATCCGCTTTGTGTCTCGAGAAGACGTCCTGATTCCTATCTTAAACATCTTTGATGGCTTCGAGCTGATCGTTCGTTTTTTTCTTCCTTAGGTGTTCAATTTCTGGTAATACCGGTTTGTCAATTTCCAATTCCTCTGGTGTGGGTCTTTCTGGAAATTTCGAACAACTCGACAGTCCAACGACCAATCTTGGTGACCTGCATCTACATCACCTGCCTCTACATCAACTACATCGTCAGGACTGCCTCTACTTCATCTGGATCTGGTCGGATGCCAGGCTTGTCACCCATCTTCCTGATGTATTTTATCGAGTCCTTCACTATCTCACATTTCGAGCACTTCGTCCAATTGCTCGATATGATCCTCCGGGATTTGCGTCGCTATCGCCACGTCGTCCACTTAACACATTACCAAGTTACCATTTTGCTTGGTTACTCTTGTCAGTGCCTGTGACATCAGTCGCTGAAATGTAGCTGTCGCGTTGCATAGGCCGAATCGTTTCCTCTTTCTTTGAACCAATCTTAGCTCGGAAGCAAACCTCGTTTTGTCTCCGTCTTGATTTTTTGGCGGTGCCTGCCAAAAGGCCAACTCCAGGTCAAGTGTTTAGAAAACCTTGGCATCCCCCAATAATTTTGAAAGGCTCTCGTCTATCCTCGGGATGGGATAAGCATCCTTCATTGTGACGAATTTCAGATATCAAAAGTCCATTTCTTTTGGCCATCACTACTTTACACACCCAGGGTGACTTGGATGGTTCTATCAAGTCATACTCTAGCGACGTTTTTTTATTTCTTTTCTACATGCATGCAAATTATGTGGAGTGAAGCGCCTCGCCCCCTCCCTGTGCAGTACCACCGACTTCTCTAGTTCTATTCCATGCTCAACGAAATTACAGCACTTGATATCCGCTTTGTGTCTCGAGAAGACGTCCTGATTCCTATCAAAAAAATCTTTGTTGGTTTTGAGCTGTTGGTTCGTTTTTTTTTCTTAAGTGTTCAATTTCTGTTAGTACCGGTTTATCCATTTCAAATTCTTCTGGTGTGGGTCTTTCTGGAAAATTCGAGCAGCTCGACAGTCCAACTCCTGTTTCTGACTTAATTGAATTGATAAGCCTGATGAAGTTTTTTACGCTTCAAACTGCTCAGGATACAAACCTTGTTCTTACGATTCGAACACTCAAGATCTTCATACTTTTTAACTTTTCATATAGTTTTCACGAGAAATGCGTATCCCAGTTTCCTTCCACTCTGGATTGTGATTGATATATCAAGAGTAATCAACAAGACATTGACGCAGAGACCACTCTTGGTGATATGCCTCTACATCATCTGCCTCTACATCATCTACATCGCCAGGACTACCTCTACATCATCGGTCGGATGCCATGCTTGTCTACCATCCTCCTGAGGTATTTCATCGAGTCCGTCAAGAGGTCACATTTCGAGCACTTCATCCAATCATCGATATGATCCTCCAGGGTTGGCGTCGCTATCACCACGTCGTCCTGTTTAGACGTTAGCCAGTCGTCTTAGGACTTAGTTTTATTTTCCGTCGATATGTATCTTCTGGGCGAATGTTACATTACCCGCTTTCTTAGCCTCAGCAGTATTTGCAAAAATTGCCTGGAGCGAAATCTTTGGTTTGGAGCATTTGGATGGAATCTATGATTATGCGCTTAAACGGTGATTTAAACTTGGAAAATTTGAAATGGCTCCAGAAAATGAAATCCAAAGAAATTGGACAGAGCCAATTTTTGACAGCTAAATTGTTGACTTGATTTTACGGACAATACATCAAAAGATTCAACGCGTTCCAAGATAGATTTGGCTCCCAATGGTTGAACATCATGCCGTTCACAAATTTAAGGTTAAAACCGTCGAACCAACAACTAAGAATTGCGATAGGTCTTTCGTGCCTCAAAAGGGCAGGGATATTCTCTAGGCATTCAAACCTGAACTCCACTGTAAAGCAGAGTTTATCTTCTTCTCACATTCGTCTGTTTTAGAACCACGACACCTCCACAGGACCGATCAGAAGCGACCAGACGATTTGACGATCGCTCCATGGGCTGTTGGGAAGCAGTTCTTGTGGGATGTTACGGTAGTAGACTCCTTACCTCCTTCTAGGATTAATGCCGGGTCTGTTTGTAACCCTGGTAGGGCTGCCGCTGAAGCGGAAGAGCGAAAAAATGACAAGTATAAAGATCTAGTAGATCATGGGTATCTTTTTCAACCGCTAGCTTTTGATATTCAGGGCGCGGCCGGCCCCAGCACAAATTTTTTTTGATTAAGCTTCGTAAGAACCTTAGCTTATGCACTGAGGAACCCAGAGCAGGCAGCTGTTTAAAACAGAGAATCTCCCAGGCAATACAAATTGCGAACGCCGCTTGCGTACTCGGAACAATAAATGAAGAAGAAGAAGAAGAAGAAAGAACACTTGAATTACTATACAATAAAAAGCCGAGGCATCAGTGTAGCAAAGTGTAAATAATAAAATTGGTTATAAATTCATTGGTTACATCAAACAAAAACAAAACATCAGAAAACAAGCAATAAACAAAACAAAAAAAAACAAAATCGGTTACAGTTCGGAAATTGGTTGATTAAAGTATATGAAGTTTCGGATACTATAGAAAATTAAAGATTTAAGAATTAGGAACAAGCTGACAAAATAACTTTCGACGGAATTTTTTATTTGTAACACTTGTATATTATATTCTCGGTGTCGAGTTGCGTGTTCTTATTGAAGAAACGTAACCTATATCGATTTTGATTGTAAGGGCATCAACACTTGTCATCTTCTTTTATCATTATCACTTCCATATCTAGAAAATTCCAAGGATTTTGACTGGAATACGTAATGAAGGGACTCCTGACTGTAACCTCGGGAAGTTTTGATGGAAGTTTTGATAACCTAATCACTACATGCGAAACTTTACTTCGCTAATCACTATATGCGAATCACTGTTACATTTTTTTCAGATAGTTTTTGTTGCCGAAAGTTGAGTTAAAAATGCTAAACTGAGTTAGCTAAAAAAGACAAATTGCCATCAATATGTCCGTCAACCCAATACCTCCTCCGCCCCCATCGGAGTGCGGTGACAATGGCCTCGATTCCGGCATGAACTCTCCAGTTATAAGCAGTGCTGCCATCTCGCCAGTTCAACAAACGAAAACAACTTCAGTAGCTGGCGAAGCTACGGCTTCGGTCGAACAACCCGTCGCAAGCTCCTCGCCGGTTGTATCCACTTCTTTTTCTACAGCTAATCAATTAGCAAACAGCAGTGTTATTGCTGGAAGTCGCTCTACACTTACAGGAACACCTATTCCTCAGGCTGGAAACTCAAAGCTTCCTCCAGGAACAAATTTTACAAAAGTTCTATACTACTTCGATGACGTGGAAACCCCATATTTAATTAAGGTTCGAGTTCAACCATGGTCAAACCGATAGATGGTTTTGCTCAAGCAACTCAAAATGATGCTTTTTTGCATTACAGGTTCCCTCGTGCAACGAGGCAGCTGCAGAAGAGCCCACAGTCACACTCGGTGCTTTCAAAACAGTCGTGAACAAAGCCAACTGCAAGTACTTCGTCAAGACGATGGACCAAGAGCTCAGGTAAGTTTTATGGGGCTTAGAAATATGCCAGCGTGTTTTTATGCCTGTATCATTACAGCGTGTTTTTTGCTTTAACGAGTCAAGAGTTTTATCAGCGTAAACAAGCGTAGTAGTAGTGGACATGACTTAGGACATTGAGTACAATAGTGTTAGCTCATCAGTTTTTAAATGGCGCGGTTTTCTTCTTTGGGTTGCAAAAACCTCATGAGCACCAATTTTCATTACGTGCATGATCCTGCATCTGAATTTTTCGTCCGTCTTATTGAGCAGTCATATTGGGAGGCAAGATTTGCAATCCTTGAAAGTACTTTGATAGGACCTAACTACAGGGTTGGGTAATTCAGATTTTTAAAGAAAAAAAATAATTCAAGTTTTCTGAAAAATTTTGAAAAAATCGCAAAAAACGTCATATCTCGAAAACTACAAAGAATTGAGCAGTCATACTTGGAGGCAGGATTCGCAATCTTTGAGAGTACTCCGACAGGACCTAACTACAGGGTTGGGAATTTCAGATTTTTAAAAACTAATAATATTTTAAGTTTTCTGAAAAACTTTGAAAAAATCGCAAAAAACGTCATATCTCGAAAACTACAAAGAATTGAGCCAACTTTTTAGATCTTCAAATTCGTCGTTTTGTCGCGTGTGTTTGTTTGAGTCTAGGTTTGTCATTGAGGGTGTCGATGTTCGCTCGCTGCGGTTACGTAGCATTTTTTAGACAACCGCGTATTCAGACACTGTATTAACTAATCAGAATCGAGACAAAGGAAGATATGAAATTCATTTCTTGCTTGTCTCGATTCTGATTGGTTAATACAGTGTCTGAATACGTGGTTGTCTAAATGCAGACCACACTCCACTGGCTGCGTATTGAGTTAAAAAATAGCATATCACGCAATTCTAAGTACATGAATATCGGTATCTATTTTATATTTAAATGCGGGCTTCACTATCTCGCCATGTTTGAGCTTTTTCAACGTATTATTTTTGCATGTTTAAGCTATATCGTATATTGCAATGGTTAAGAATTTTTTTCGATTTTCCAATTTGATTTTAGTGGTTAGTTCACCGAGTTTAAGTTAAGCAGCCCAATATCGAATTAGGGGTTGCGATATTGGCCTCCAATTTTGAATGCCCGAATCATTTTAGTTAACGAGATAAGACGATTTTTGAGATTGTTTCAAAAATTTTCAGAAATTTCAAATAACAAAATAATTTACAAAACTTGAAGTTCCCAACCCTGTAGTTGGGTGCTGTCGGAGTACTCTAAGGAGTTACAAATTTGGCCTCCAAATATGACTGTTCAAATCCTTGTAGTTTTCGAGATATGACGTTTTTTGTGATTTTTTCAAAAAATTTTCAGAAAACTTATATTAATTTTTTTCGCAAAAGCTGAAATTCTCAACCCTGTAGTTGGGTCCTGTCAGAGTAATCTCAAAGATTGCGAATCTTGCCTCCAAATATGATTGCTCAATTCTTTGTAGTTTTCGAGATATGACGTTTTTTATGATTTTTTCAAAATTTTTCTGAAAACTTAAAATATTATTAGTTTTTAAAAATCTGAAATTCCCAACCCTGTAGTTAGGTCCTGTCGGAGTACTCTCAAAGATTGCGAATCCTGCCTCCAAGTATGACTGCTCAATTCTTTGTAGTTTTCGAGATATGACGTTTTTTGCGATTTTTTCAAAATTTTTCAGAAAACTTGAATTATTTTTTTTCTTTAAAAATCTGAATTACCCAACCTGTAGTTAGGTCCTATCAAAGTACTTTCAAGGATTGCAAATCTTGCCTCCCAACATGACTGCTCAATTCTTTTTAGTTTTCGAGATATGACGTTTTTTGTGATTTTTTCAAAATTTTTCAGAAAACTTAAATTATGATTACTTTTTTAAAAATCTGAAATTCCGAACCCTGTAGTTAGGTCCTGTCGGAGTACTCTCAAAGATTGCGAATCCTGCGTCCAAGTATGACTGCTCAATTTTTTGTAGTTTTCGAGATATGACGTTTTTTGCGATTTTTTCAAAATTTTTCAGAAAACTTGAATTATTTTTATTCTTTAAAAATCTGAAATTCCCAACCTTGTAGTTAGGTTCTGTCAAAGTACTCTCAAGGATTGCGAATTTTGCCTCCAAATATCACCGCTCAATTTTTTGTAGTGTTCGAGATATGACGTTTTTTGCGATTTTTTCAAAAATTTTTAGAAAACTTGAATTATTTCTATTCTTTAAAAATCTGAAATTCCCAACCCTGTAGTTAGGTCCTTTCAAAGTACTCTCAAGGATTGCTAATCTTGCCTCCAAATATCACTGCTAAATGCTTTTAGTTTCCGAGATGTGACGGTTTTCGATTTTTTCAAATTTTTCTAAGAACTTATCTACAAAGAAATTCAAAAAATTTGAAACTACTAACTTGATGAAGATACAACTTTTTTGTCAGCGTACACCCAGGCGTCTCAAATCTTGCCTCTTAATTTGAATGCTCAAATCCTTTTAGTTTTCGAGATAAGACGTTTTTTTCAATTTTTTTTCGGGAATCTTATGTTTAAAAAATTCACAAAATTTTGGATTCCTAACCCTATAGTAGGGCGCTCTCAGGGACTCTCAGTGGTTGCAAATCTGGCTTCCAAATTTCTCCAGAGGCACATTAAGTTTTCGAGATGACGCTTTTAAAATTGGAAATTAAAAAAAATTAAAAGTTCGAAATTACCAACCCTGTAATTGGGTGCAGTCAGAGAACACTAAAAGTTTGCAGATGTTGTTTGCAATATATGCGGTTTTTTTCATGAGTTGTCGAAAAATTTCGAAGCACCGGAGGTGCGTTAAACGCTAGTTATATCTAAATGTAATAGCCGTTGTTTGTAGTCAGTCAGTTTCTTTCCAACATTGCTGAACTTTTTCAAGTAATTGATCCATGTTAGATGGCTACCACGCCTGGGAGGTATCTGAAAATACAGCTACTACATATCCAATATATGCATTGAGTTTTGTGTGTTGGCATTTTTTGAACATTCCTCTTGAAAAGTAGAAGGACCTCCAGGCTTTGCTGATTCTTCGCTTTCAATTTTGAGCCCATGAGAGATTCCAGATGTTAACGTCCAGATGTTTTTGGTTGCTAACAGTTTCGAAAGTTTCATTGTTGATTGACTCTTAGTGGATTTATTTTTAGTCATTATATTTTGCTTTTATCTACGTTGAGAGACCTATGGTTCTCCTGACTCCAATTTTTGATTTGTTTTATAAGAAGTTGGGCCTCCATTTTGTTCAGAAGTTAATAAGAAGTTGGACTTTCATTGTCACTTTGAAGTCATCAACATAATTGTCTAAAGAAAAATTGTCCATTACCTTTGGCAAGTCCTTGACATAGACAAGGAACATAAGCGGTCCCCGTATAGATCCATGAGGTATTCCACTTTGATTTGGTGTCATGTAATTTCACACATTTTGTACTTTCGCCAAGATAGCTTCCGATACCAAAGACCATTATTTTTTTTGGCCTCCTATACCGAAGACCATTAGTTTTTTGAGGAGTTTGTGGTGTGTCACTTTGTCAAAAGTTTTCTTGAAGTCAACGTAGAGAACAAACAAATCTTTGTCGACAGTGTCTGATTTTTGATACACTTCTTGCAAGTAGATTAGAATAGGAGGATCGCGGAATGGTATGATCGAAAAACAAACTGTCCGTTGTCAAGTTGACTTTCAGTTAGAGGATACAGATGGATGAACAAAACTAATTTTTTTTGACACGTTCGCGAGAAATCGTATTGATCGATAATGGCTGAAATTTACCTTGTCAATCTCCTTGTATTTCGGCGTGACTTCACTTTGCTTCCAATGTGTTGGAAGGGTGACCTTGTTAAGGCAAGTTTGGAAAATAAGAAGTGATTATGACAGTGCTTGGGCTTTTTTCAGAAAAATGTTATCAATGTTGTCTGGACCACATGCTTTCTTGGCGTCTAGGCTGATAAGTGATTCTTTTTTTCTTGTTTGCTCAGGTTGATGTATTTAAGAGTTGATTTTTCACATTCTAGGTTCGTGGTATTTTGACCTTCTACGTGGTAAACATTGGAGAAATATCGATTGAAAAGTTCACTTTTCAAAATGATCAGCTGTGCTTTTCGCTCGTTTTGGTCGTTTTTTTTTCGTAGTTTCGAATTGAATATCTTCTGGCAGGTGTTTTGATTTGTGTACCGATTTACGGTATTTATGTAAGTCTGACGTACTCCTGTTATGAAAAATTTTCTGTTCAAAATATGATTCATCCGTTTATCTCTTCTTGAATTTTTTTCTTACGCTTTATGTTAATAAGGATTGACAGACTGGGTTTTGTTCCGTATTTTCTTAGGGAGGTATTGGATGTCAAACATGTTGTTATTGATGAATTTTTTTCGTTATTTGGGGTGCGTGTAATTCAATTAACTCACTTATGCAGATATACCATTTCGTAAAAAATCGTCAACGTTGCTGTTAAGAGTATGGTTGGAAATTTAATAATAATGTAATGTAAATCATTAAGAATATAAGTCAATGCATTTATTTGAGTTTGAACTGTACTTGTAAACAGAGCAAAATAAAAACCAGCAGAGCCGGTTACTGTGCAAGTGGCACAGAATGTTCCGACCATAGTCTTAAAATATACAAAAGTTTTTTCAAGTTATTGTCCTTTTTTTTGGCGTGTTGTGATAAAACTGAACCAAAAACTGGAGATTGGGTATATTTGACAGTCATAGTAAAATAAGCAAATTTAAAAACATTTTTTTTAGAAAAGTTACTTAAAAATGAAAAAAAAAAATCAAAGTTACTTAAAAATGAAAATTTTTATTCCAAAAAGGCGCTGAAATACTTGAAGTAATTTAACGTTACTCAAGTGAAGTTAAAATTTTATGTTTTAAATTTTGCTATTGTAAGCTTTTAAGCAGTTCAAATAAGACTGCTCGCTCGCTTTATTCGCTCGAAATAAGACGAAAATCAAAAATTTCAGACAGGTTTTTCTCGACACGGGGAATTTGTATAAATATGGTTCGAATCACGACTAAGAGTTTTTACTATGATATATCACGTAACTTAGTCCGACAATTATTTGTGGTACCTGATTTTGCGTCGAAAACAAAAAGAAAAAAACAAATACACCCGAATACAAAGTTCCTCCTCATTTTCAATGGTCGGAACAATGATGACCGCAATCACCCTGGTTTTTATCACGATAATGAAAATCACTTATATTATACTTAGGATTTTTGTTCTTGGTTCACGTAAAACCTTTCGAATTGATGTCATTTTAGTACAAGTAATCATATTCTGGAAGACAGTTTTGGTTTGTTCTTTTTTTAAAAGAAAAACGTGGGAATCCAAAAAATATAGAAAACATCAACTGACTGCTCTTTTCACAAAAAGTTTGCTTACTGAAGGTATTCACGTTTTGTTGTGACTCCTGTAACTGAGGGAAGGAAAGTTGTCATCCTTTGTTTTTTTTCCATTTTTTAACGCTAGTACAGCGAATAGGTGTTATCACATCGAATAGGTGTTATAATATACAAAGCTTTCAAATACGTTAAAAACATCGTTTTTCTCTCGGAAACTTATTTTTCGAAGTTTCATTTACCGCTTTGGCGATAAGAAACATTTTAAAAATTCAAAAGATAATCAGGACAAAATTTTGGATTTTTTTGGGATTTGTTTTTCGAAAACAACTTTCATCAATTTTGCCTAATTCACTAAAAATCCAAGGCTTCGTCTTGTTCCGCTCATAACATCACAAACAAAAAGCGACCCAAATCTATTAAAAAACTTTAAAATTTTTTTACTGAATGTGGTTGGAACTTTCTCTGCTGTTGGCTTAGCAACTGCCTGATGTTATTTACCCTTGCGATAAGCAAGTCTATTGCAATCGGTTCCTAGACTTTTTTCCCGTTAATAACTTTGTTCACGGTATGTTCAAAATTACAATTGGTAATTTAAGGTTCAGTTTATATTGAATTCAATTTTTTTGCGTTTTCGGTACACTTAAGTCTGGAATTAACGAATACGCCCGGTATGGCAAAGTTCCGGGGTTCGAATCTGATGGTACCGATTTTTTTTTCAAAAGTGAATTTTTGAGTTTCAAAAAAATAGTTGTCACATCGTAGTAGTCACATCGTTTTTGTTGTACGCAAGTTACATTGTAGTTGCTTTTAATGTTTTGGTTTGCTTTTGCTGCTTGTATTTTTACTAACTTTGATTCGTACTTTTTCTGTTTTGTTTTTCGCTTTAACACTGTTTTCTGTCCAAATGATTTGGGCTTTAATTTATTGGTTTAGACCTAATTTTGAGTCGTTTCATGGCAAACTTATTTTTCATGCTCCACTCTGAATGGACAAAATGCTGAAATCTTAATTGAAAATTACAACAATTTTATTTTGGCTCTTTTTCATTTTTTCCCGCTTGTAAGGTTTCGGCGTATATTGAATCGGCTAAATGGACTCATTTTGCATCTTTCGGCGAGCGAAAAAAAGTTTGTATGTACGTGTGTACGTTTTGGCGTAATAGGTTTCGGCGTATATAATATCGAGTTAGTGGCCTCATTTTGTTACATTTAACGAACAATTAAAGCTTTGTGTGTGTATGTGTGTGTTTTGAGGGTGAGAGGGAGGTTATTAACTTTTTATATTAAGTCCTAAGTGTAAGGTTTTTTCGGCTTTGTTACCGACTGGTAATTTTTCTTCCGATGCTAATTTCACAATTTATTGTCTTGGCATGTTTTTTTATTTCAAAACTAGACTTATTCATTCTGATACATTTAATTTTCTCGGCGTTTTCAATTTTTTTTAGCGACTTCCTTGTTTGTATCGCAAGTAGTGCGAATCTCAGCTTCGCCTATGTGTATAGTTTGCGCTTATTGTGCTTCAAATATCCAAATAAATGGCTACGTTTTTAAGACAAACTGTGAAAGAAGAGGTCATGGACGACAGTGCACTGCTCCCGCTGTATAACGGCCGAATTATTGTCTACGTGAGTAAATTTATGATTCATTAAATGTGACAATGAGGAGTTTTCAGCATCTCGGACATGTTTTTTTTTCAGGTCAACAGCATCGAGAACAGTTCAAGTCACGGCGGCGGAGGAGGCAGCCAGTCCGGTGGGGCTCTTTCAGGAGGAGAGTCAAATGCACCTCACCATGCATCAAACAGGTTGTCCGGAGGTGGTGGAAGCGGTCACGGTGGATCCCAAGGTGGCAATCAGTACGGCAACGGAAGTGACACTGGATCCCAATATAATGATATCGGAGATCTGTGGAACACCATGAGGACTCCTGCTAGTGGCGGTAATTCACATATGGGTGGCAATAGACAGCACCAGTCTTACCATCATGGTAAGGGTGGTCCGTACGGTAAAGGAGGTAACAGATACCCACCAGCTCCACAACCCCTAGATGAAGATGACTACACTACAGCGACCGATACTGAATCGTTTGTCCAGCATCCGAAAGGAGGCCTTAGAGGCCCGCCACCTTCAGCGATAATGCGATACGGTCAGCAATCGCGAAATTTCATGCATTATGACGTGGACATGGGAGGAGCAGGGTATGATAGTGGAGCTACGAGTCAGTTCACGACAGACTATGAAAGCAGCTTTATCGATTCTACTACAGATGATGATGAATCCGTATACAGGTAATGATATGCTATTTTTTGCTCAAAATTTTCCAAAAAAGGCCTAAAAACACCTTTTTTGGACTGTTGTTTCAAAATATTTTACCTGAGGCGCAGAAGGTTTGGCCAAAAGAGAGTTTGTGCTTTGGGGGAGCTCGAAAAATAAATTTAGTCTAATAAAAGGTCGACGAAATTTTTTTTTGAAAATACGCCCCCCACCTTCAACAAAATCTTTGATACGTCCCTGAAGACAAAAACAGTTATTCGGAAAACTTTTCTCTCCTGCTCAACTTAGCTTAAAACATGAGTTTGTAGGCAAAGTTATTGTTGAAGATACTCAATAAATTGTATCATTAGTGAAGAGCACGTGTAACCAACATGATTTGGAAAACATGTAATCTTTCAGACTGGCCGGACCAGGTGGGGGATACGGAGCTGGAGGTGGGTATTGGAAACACCCTTCGAACAGAATGCAGCCCCCAGGCAGACACAAGAGACCTCACAGACCCAGACGAAGAGGACAACCCGGCACTAGGGTACTGATTCTTAAGCTATTACAGAAATTCTAAGTGAGCTATGCGTTTTAAAATCATGACCGTAGTGAATTCTCTTCTATAGGTCTTGGCAATTTTTTTTTTCAGGAAAAAGTCTAAATGATTGTTAAAATGTGTTTTTTTTTGCTGTTTGACTTTTGATTTCTGAAATTCTCTTCATTTCTTTTGTTAAAATGAAGGCAAACTTCGCTATCGAACAGCGAATGTGTAACACGAAACACGTGAGTGAATTCTAGTTTGGAAAGTGGATCTCCCATCGGAATAAAAAAATATCTATTCATCCAATTTTCTCAAATTGGGTAAGTTATATCAAACAAATGTCAATCAAAAATTGTTCTTGAAATTCAAAGAGCTTTAAGGCCATATGTTTTTTCTTTGAAATTTAAGGTTTGAAGTTTTTTCAAAATAATTAAGTCAGTATTTTTTTTAGTTTCCTTGCGTTTTAGCTAGATTTATTAATTTGAAAAACTGGTTTTAGATTTTTGGTCTAATTTCAAGCGAATATGGCGAGAGAGCAGGCTTATCTTATTTTTCAACCAAACAGTTACCCAGTTGTCCCAAAGTCGAGAAAACTGCTTTGAAATTGTTGAGTTTAAGTGTAATATCGAGCGATTAAAGCAAGCGAGCAGGCTGATTATAGAAAGATAAGCCATAAAACTTAAATAAAATTAATTTTTGAACTATAAAGAATTTGGTCGGAACTTTCATTCTGTGTATCTTACACAGCAACCGGCTATCCTTTTTCGTGATTTGCCATCGTTTCTGTTTGCGTTGTATGTATATACGAAATCAAACTTTGCTTTTGTGAATAAAATGTGTGTACTTGTACAGGCCTTGGCTCCCTCTATAATGAGCAGCATAACGGACTCTTGTTCCTCCCTCAACTTACAGACAGTGATCATAAACATGGACTCCTCAAAACACCTCGGCATCAGCATAGTCGGCCAGAGCACCAACGACGGGGCAGGAGACGGGGGCATATATGTGGGAGAGATCACACGAGAGTAAGCGAAGGGATCTAAATTGATTAGGAAATTAACCGAATTAGATTTAGCTGGCATGTTATAAACATATTCATCTTTGTTCTGGCGGATAATAATTCTTTTGTTTTGTTTTTTACTGTCACATCCAATAAAGAAGGAAATTTGTTCTACGGATTGGGCCAATAGCTGATATTTCAGGTTTTTTAGAGTCAATGTTTATCAGTGGAATTATATTTTACTGGCAAAAAGAAAGAGGAGGTATCTTGGAATAACTTATTGGATTGTTTGTGTTTAGTGGTGCGGTATACCAAGAGGGCTCGATAGACCCGGGAGACCTCATCATTCAGGCGAACGACACTCCCTTCACAAATATGTCCAACGATGATGCAGTGAAAGTACTTCGAGATCTCGCTAAAAAACCAGGGTAAGAGTGATCTCTCCTCTCTGTAGGTGGCGGTGAAGATGTCATACATAAAGTTCAGCTTGGTAAAGGCCTTGTTTAAAAAGGCTTAGATCAGTACGTTTAAGAATCATTCAGAGCAACAATAAGAGTGATATGAACTCGATTCAACTCAAGGTTAGACAGTACCTGCCCATTTGTTGTCCTAAGTTTTGCGTTTAACGATTCATTTCAGTCTGAAACGAATCACCAACTTCCTTGCTTAGAAAGACAAATTTTTAGCAAAGGTCTACGAAATAAGTTGAAATAATTACATAGGTTCGATAGCTTGCCGAAGAAAAATTAAAATTTTTCAGGAACCGATTCTCTTTCAAATATTCGAAAATTTCGAAGCTTGAATAGCTTGGTTAAGAAAAACTTTCCGTGAACCGATTCGCTTCATGAAATGTCTTGAAATATTTCAAATTTTAATAGCTTAATAAGTTCTTTGAGTAAAACTTGTTGATTCGCTCTATGAAATAACTTGACTAGCTTGGTTAATAAAAACATAAATCTTTTGCAAACCAATTTGGTTTACGAAATAACTTGATTAGGTTGAATATCTTGCTTGAGAAAACTTAAAATTTTTGAAAACCGATTCCCTTCATAAAAAGCTTGAATTATTTTTACGTTTTGAAGCTCAGATAGCTAGCTGATTAAGAATTGTTCGTGAACCGATTCACTTCATGAAACATCTTAAAATTTTTCAAAGTTTCATGGCTGAAATAGCTTTCTTAGAAACACTGGAGCTTTTCGCCATTGAATTAACTTGAAACATTTCAAAGATTCATAGTTTGAAAAGTATGCTTCAGCAGAAAATTTTGATTTTTCTTGGACTGATTCGCTCTTTGAAATAAGGTGAAATGGTTGAAAGTTGTTCGCTTGAAAACTAATTTAGCAAAACTTGTTTTTTTTTGTAAATCAGTTCAATGTATGAAATGCTTCAAATTTTCATATGAATGGCTCCAATAGCCAACGTTTCGCTATCCGATTTCTTCCATTAAATTACTGGAAATATTTCAAAGTTTCATCGTTGGATGGCTTCAGTAAAAAATTTTAAATTTTAGCTATCCGATTTGCTGTGTTTCAGATTTTTATAGCTTGTTCATAGTTTTGTTAACTTCATAGCTTCATCGCTTTTCATAGTTTTGTTTAAAAGATTCATAGCTTGAAAAGTTTGCTTCAAGAAACTGAAGGTTTTGGAAATCTGATTAGGTCTATGAAAAAAGTTGAAATATTTCAAATTTTCACCGATTGAATGGTTGCAATAGAAAAACTTAAACTTTTCGCTATCCGATTCCCTTCAGGAAATTAGTTGAAAAATTTCGAAGTTTTTTAACAAATAGCTTACTAAGATAAATTTAACCTTTCTCCATTTAATTCGCTATATGAAACAACTTGAAATTTTTCAAAATTTACTTGCATGAATAGCTCGTATAGAAAAACATTAATTTTTCACTATCCGGTTTAGTCTGAATTAATTTAAGATTTTTCAAATTTTCAGAGCATGATCAGCTTGCTTAAAAAATACCTGATTTTGCGCAGACCGATTCGCTCTATGAATTAAATTGAAACCTTTCAAAGTTATTCGCTTAATAGCTTGAATGGAAAAACTCAATTTTGGCAAACCAGTTCGATATATGAATTAACTTGATTTATTTCAGTTTTGTAGCCAAATCAGTCTATGAAAAAATATAAAATATTTCAAGGTTTCATAGTTTGAAAAGTTAGTTTACGAAAAATTTGATTTTTCTCGGACTGATCTCGTCTATGGAATAAATTGAAATTTTTCAAATTTTTCCGCCTAATAGCTTGCAAAGAAAAACTTGACTTTTGCGAACCAGCTCGATCTATGACAAAACTTGAAATTTTCTAAAGTTTGAATAGCTTGCCTAGGAAAAGCTTAATTTTTCGCCAACTGGTTCGGTCTAAGAACCAACTTGAATTATTTCAAAATTTCATTGCTTGACTGGTTTCAATAGAAAAACTTTTTAAAATCGCCATTTGAATTGCTTCTTGAAATAATTTGAAATTTTACAAGCTTTCATAGCTTGCTTAGAAAACACAAAATTTTCGCAAAACGATTTGATCTGAGAGTACTTGAAATATTTCAAAGTTTCATAGCACCAATAGCTTGCTTAAGAATTGTTTGATTTTTCGCGGACCGATTTGCTCTAACAAATAAGTTTTTCAAAGATTTATTGCTTGAATGGATTCAAAAGAAAAATTTTTTGCCGTCCGAATTGCTTATTCATTTAACTTGAAATTTTTCAGTGTTTTTTTTTCAGCTGGAACAGGTCGCCTAGAAAAACCTAATTTTTTCGCAAACCGATTCGTTTTATTGAAATTAAAAAATTTTCAAACCAATTTACTATATGGCTTAACCTGAAATTGATCGAAGTATAATTGCTTGAATAACTTGATCAGATTAGCAACTAATGTTTTGTGAGCCATTTGATTATTAGAGACGGGCTTGCTAGTTTTTCGATAATTGAAAGCAGCAACAAACAACTTTTATCTTTTGACGGCGAATCCGCAGATTGCGACTTATATATAGCCATGGTGCGGGGCGGTGGCGAATAAAATAAGTCGAAAGGTCCGACCAAGATCCGTATACGTTGCGTAAAACAACTCAAAAATAGAAGGTAGTTCTTAAGATGTGACTCAACAGCAGGTTACCGTGAAGGTCTGCTCTTTTCCCTTGTGGATAAATGGTATTCATACAAATTTTGAAATCTTTTGACCTGTAAGGTTTTTGGTTGGTTGCATGGGTATGTTTTTACACACACCGAAGCGTAGTGTATTATTACGAAGAATGTTCTTTTTCCAATCTAAGTCGCTAATAAAAGTGCTATTTTGGTGTGGTGGCACTTTTTTACTTCAATTTAATCATATTTAAGCATAGGCAATTTATTAGCATATGTTGCTGCTTTATTTTTGGCTAGTGTTAGGTCCTGGTTAAAAAAAACAGGTTTTATGAAAATGTTTGGGTTTCGTTGGTTTTTTTTGCGACGCTTCGGAAATTTTTTGCATGTTCCGCAGAAATTTCAATTTTTCTCAAAAACTACTGTACTGATTTTCAAAAAATGGTACCATTGGAAAAATCGGCATATATGTGCATTTATATTTCGCTACTCTATTTTCTTTTTACCCCACGCCTTCGAAAGTTTCAGTTGGGTGATTTTTAACCTAATTGTTTTTAGTTTTTTCATTTTCTCAAATCTTAAAAGCACAAATCTGAGATGAAAGTTTCAATCAAAAGAAAAAATATTGGGGATCTTCCTTTCTCAAGTGGCTATTCCCTAAAAGCGATAGAAAAAAGTTATGGCCTCAAACATAACCATTTTTTGACATTTTGGCTAATTTTTATATTCTCAAAAACTACCCGGCAAAATTGGAGATTAAGGGTTTAACCCAAAGCAAAAAACCAGTTGTGTGACTCTTCTCCTTAAGTTTAGTAGAAAAAAATATGGCATTAGAAAAGGTCCATTTTTAAAATGTTGGCTGTTTTTTAGGAAACTTTTTTTCCACAAAACTAACCTACCGATTCTGTGGTTGATCAAACTAATATGTTACACCCTACTTGTTTGTAGAACAGCTCATTTGCACTCCGGAAAAATCTATTTTTGAAATGTTTACCATTTCTTAAAGAAATGTCATCACTATTCTCAAAAACTAGCTAAATCTGATATTAAGGGCTCAGTCTAAAATTTAGGGTAGGGAAATCTTCCCTGCATAAGAGGTCATTCCTATGCTTTAGTAGAGAAAATTGTATGGATTTAGGAAAAGTCAAAATTTGAATTTTTGATCTGTTTTTGGATTCTTTTCCATTTGTTTAAAAAATTACACGTCAAATCTGAGAGAAAGAATTCATTTGAAAGAGATATTAGTAGTTTTCGCCTTTAAATAAGCGGCTAATCCCCTACTTAAGCAGAGAAATCACTAGGGTTTTGCGTAAAATCCATTTTTTGAAACATTACGCATTTCTGAATCAGCGAACTATTAAAATCAGCGAACTATTAAAAAGCTGGAGGCAGGCGCCTCCAGCTTTTGCTGAGTCACTAGTTCACTTCCATGCAACCGTTATCCAGATGCCAGTACTTGATACTCTAAATCAACAGATCGGAGATTCAAATCCGGAACATTGAAATAGTTTTCTTTGTTCGAATTTTTGGTACATAGCATTGGCAGTTTGATAGATACTGTAGCTGCTTTATTGGTGGCTAGTGTTAGTAAAATTACAAGCGATCGTGGGGCAGAGTACTCCTATCTCAACTAAAAATTGTCTCAAGTGATATTTTTAGTATTTTCCTTTTGCCGTATTAAACTTTGTTTTGCCTGTTTTTGCGTTTTTTTTTGCATGTGCTTGCGATGCGCAGCTTCGCCTCTGTGGGAAAACTATAGCTTAGCTATTACTTTATGAAAATTTTAAGGAACAAATCACAAATTAGAATGTTTTTTTTTTCACAGGAAAGGTTTTTATAAACATAATAAACACTCGAGTCTTTAGTATAGTCTACTACTGTACTCCATTTTTTGCTTAAAATATTTCCAAAAATACGATGTAGCTAATATGAAAATCTAGCCGGAAGGAATTTTGCAGACTGAGAGGAAAATTGATTGAAAAGCGACTCGATGCATCAGAAATAGAGCCAAATCGAGGAAAGACATGCTGACGGTGGTTGTTAATGTTTTAGGCCTCTCAAATTGGTAGTGGCAAAACTGTGGAATTCTGACCCGGCTGGATTTGACGGTGACGCTGGCTTTGGTAGTCCGGAGTACTACTCGTTGGAACCCCGGACAGACCTGCCACTGCACCCTATTGATCCGGCCAGTTGGGTGGAGGCATCCAGAATTGCTACTTTAAATGGAACTGCTTTCAGTCCAGCTGTCACTTCAGACGAAGGCGCTTCCGAAATAGGTGGGAGTAGATAGAAGGCAAATGAGTAGACATAGTTAATCGAAAAATTGGCATGAAATTTTGGAAACTAATTTTTGAATGATTCTGAATCCGTATAATGCTTCTTTTCATCTTCCAGTTCTAAAATAACAGCTTTTGAGTTTAAACATATGTGAATCATTATTCAAAGAATGGCTTTGTTCTATGCACAATGCTTAGTTTGGGGCTTTCAAATTCTTCCTTTTTTCAGCTTAAACATCATACCTTGTCCATGTAATCAAAGCTCTTTTCGACTGTTGTTCTCTAATATCTGTCAAAAATCCATCATTAATTGTTGTCACAGTAGCCGAATAAAGGATATTTAATTTAGGAGGATTCAAATACCCCGGAAATCCCAACATGGGTCAACCCGGAATGCAGGGTGGTGGGGGCGGTGTGGGCAACAACAGTGGAGCTCAAATGGGAGATCAGATGGGTGGAGGGGGAGCGGGAGTGCACCCCAATTCGAATCTGAATCGCCAGTCGGGACAAGGGGGATCGACTGGTTCGGCACCGGAATTGCGGGAGTACAACGGGGGCAATAACAATCCACAGATGGGTGGAAATATGCAACACATGATGGGTCAGCACAACAATCAAATACAATCTGGTTTGTCATCAGTCTCATTCTAACATTAAAAGAATAGATTTAAAGTATGCGATTTTCCCGGGTTGTACTTACATATATCATCATCGCTGAATTATTAACAGTAATGAACGTAGTGAAAACTTTTGTATAGGTCTTGCTGATTTTTTTTGTTTTTTTTTCAGGAAAAAGTCTTAAAATATTGATGCACTTAGGAATAATGCACTTTTCGGGTCCAATTGAAATTAATCTGCTGAAAGTGACGTAAATAGCAATCTCTAAATACGAACGTGGAAATGGCGCGAGAAAACATGAACGATTTCTAGTTTTGAAAGTGGAATTTATTTTTAAGATTTCCCAGAGGAATAAAAACTTTGCCTATTGAACCAGTTTTCTCAAATTGGGTTCAAGGTATCAAAAAAGCGACAATCATAATTTGTTCTAGAAACTCAAAGAGCTTAAAGGGCATCTAGTTTTTTCTTTGAAATTCGATTTTTGAAGAAAGTCAGTGTTTTTTTATGTTTACTTGCGTTCATTACTCTTTTCCAATCTTCGAGTTTGCTATGTTTGATTGATAGCTTAGTCTTATTCGTCGTTTTTGTCGATGAATCAGGACTGGGAATTACAATTTTGTCAGCGATGTTCAGTCGATGAATTAGTGCTTGGATGTTAAATTTGTGTTCAGCGATGATCCATCTATGAATGAACTATATTTGATCAGTGAAATAGCGCTGAGGGGTCCAGTGTTTGCTCATACTCATTTTTAAAAAATTGGACGGAAAAACATCAAGTATTGATGAACGCAGTGAAAAAACATTTAGGTCGTGAGTACATTTTTTTTCATTTACGGGAAAAAGTGTAAAATTTGATCACGCTCAAGTTCGACTTGCGGCCAGTTGACTTCTGATTTCTTTTTGAGTTCAATTGAAATTATTTTGCTAAAAGAAAGCAAAAAAACGTAAATGATTTAAAGTGGATCTCAATTTTTAGGTTAAGCATCGGAGTAAAAACATCGATTGATCCAGTTGTCTCTAATTATATCAGTTTTATGAATTAGTGTTGAAGTTTAGAGCTTCAACGTGATTAATTTTTTTCTGAGAGTTTCGAAAGTTTCAAAAACATTCCATCAGTTTTTCGGTTTTTTGGTTCTTTGAAACTTTTCCAACTTTTTGTTGGCTATTTTTATACTTTTCACACGATACATGGGGATAATATTTGACCAGAGCAAAAGTTCAAAAGTTAAGTAGCAGAATCTAAATTTTGATGATCAGAATCCCCAGACATTAAAAAACTATTTATTGATCCAATTTATTAGAGCCAATGAACGTAGTTCAGACATTCATATAAGTCGTGATATTTTTTTTGAAGGAAAGTACTTATGTTTGTTCAGGCTCAAATATACTTTTTGGCGGTTTGAGTTTTGTTTTCTTTGAAGTTCAGCTCATTTCCTTAAATTTAGAAATCTTCATTTTTAAATACTCAACACTATTGCGGGGTGATCTCAAATTACTCTCAGGATGTTTATGTGGACTCAAAATTTGACAGCGCAACACCTTTTTTCTTAGATATGACGTTTTTGTCTCTTTTCGAAGGCGTTGAATTTCAAAAAAAAAAAATCAAAATTTTAAATTGTCGATCCTTTTGTGGGGTGATGTCAAGTTACTACTAGTGAATCCGGATGTGGCCACGCATCCTATTTTTATTGCTTAAGTCTTCAATTTTGGCTTTTTGTGTGATATTTTAAAAGTTTTTCATTAAACTTACAATTAAATTGAGAAAAAAGAAAGATATTTTAAAATTAATAACGCTGGATTATGAATTTGATTATTTAACAAATTAAATTCTTTTTTTTTAATCTATATATGGAATTTGCAGTTGCATGCTTTCGACCATTTTAGGGTTTCGCTTATTAGTTAAAAATTCGAAGATCTGAAAACCAGTTGTTCTGGAGATTTGACCATTTTAGTTTTTAAAACCTTAAAGTTGAAATTATTTTTATTGCTCAAATTTTGAAATCAAAATCGTTGTTGGATTCACCCGTTTATGGTTGTGGTTGCATTCATTTCGTTTTTATATATATTTTATTTATACGCAACTTTCACGTTCAGTAATCTGTTTGATGCACCGGAGGTGCGTTACACGCAAGTTCATTTTAAAAGTTGCTTTATTAACTTATAACTTTTCTGTGCAGGTATGTCGATGCATGCTGCCTCCAGTACAGGTGTGTATCCCCCTTATATGGTTGGTGGGGGACCCCTTCGGACTACCTCGGACCCCGCCCTGATCATCACAGCCATGATGACGCCGAACAGTGGGCTGGAAATAAAGGACAGAATGTGGCTCAAAATCACAATCCCAAACGCCTTCCTAGGTGAGCAGCAACCGAGAAGATAGTTCGTTTCAGGAAAAGTTAATTCAGGATTAATTGTTTACAGCCCTAGCCTTTTGCCTGATCTGATAGCAGTTTTATTAGTTCTCAATGGAGTAAAGAACATTTTCATCCAGTTTACTCATTTTGGGTGAATTGCATCCATAGATTGTCAATCATAAAATAATCTTGACATAGAAGGTTAGTTAATCTGGTCTGAATTCTTTAGTAATTCTTCAACCTTTTGAAAATGGATGAACCACTATCACAACAGCGTGGTATCTAAGTATTTATCTCGTTGTGCTTGTGATGGTGGCGTATTTTTAAACTATGAGTTCAGTTGTTGTCTCTGTGTAGGGCGTCACTTCGTTCAGTGGCTGTACGAGAAAGTGGCCGGATTCTCCTCCCGCAACGATGCTCGAACTCTCGCCAAGAGACTGCTCAAAGATGGATATCTTAAGCACACCACTGGCAAGTCTACCTTCTCCGAACAGTGCTACTACGTGTTCAATCTCGAGAGGGTCAACTCGGGTGCTGCTTCCACCGCAAGTGAGTTGAAAAACGACTCTGAATTAAAGAAAGAATAAATGTTTTCAGGAAATTTAGAGAGGATGGGCAAATGTTATTCTTTATGGCCATCGTGATCTTACCCTTAATGAAAGTTTGATTGTGATTTGAGAAACATGTCATTTTTTGACCAAAAAAATGTCGAGTTAAAAAATAGTGCAGAATGGAGATAATTTTGATGACACTAAATTGTAGAAAATCCTTTAATTGCAGTAAAAATGTTTCGAGAATTTTTTTAGGTCTTTACCGCTACTGTTTTCCCGCTACATTAGGACTGCGAGGTAGGTTCTCTTATCAGGCTCACCAACAAGAGAGATCCAACGATTGAAAACAGATTTACTCATAACAATTTCTCTGATGAGACGATGTAATTGGGTCTACATAAGTTTGTTCTGCAACAAAAACAGTTCAAGGGAACGGCTTCAGACGAAAACTATCTTCTAAAAAGTCCATTTATTTTGGATTAATTGTTTGATTTCACCAAAATAAATAGAATTTCTTCAAATTATTTGTAGTTTGTGAAAATTGAGCATTAAACATCTGTTTTTTTTTGTCCATAAAAAGAAGGATTAAGATCATATTTGTCGACTCAATTTTTCATGTAGACCCAAACACTTATCAATATCTCGTACGTATTGACAAAATCTCAGCAGTGTAATAGGATCACAGTTTTGAACCGTTTTCAATTTCACAAATTGATTGTTAAATCACGCTTAAGACCGTTCGAATTTGTCACTCAATCGTTCAGTTTATCTTTGCTGGTGACATTGATGTTGATTATGATTTCAAAAACACTGTTTAAATCAAGTCGGATTCAGTATTTACGTTAACCCAGTTATGTATAATTCCTTTCAGTTAAAAACTTTTCCCCCTCCGACGAGCATGCGACCTAAGTTTGAGTTTTTTTGCTCGTCATCTGTTTCAGTTAATAGTTTATTGCATCGAAGGGGAAATATGCGAAAAAATTAGACGCTTGATAAAGTTACAACGTAATGCGAAAATATAAAGATAATAAGGCTATTCTACCGCTCTCTCACACACCCCCCCCCCCCCCCCCCGCTTCATCTACTTGACTATAATGGTGGTATCAGTGGTTTTACAGGGTTATGTATGATGTATGAGGAACAAGCTTGCTTCGAAATTTGGTTTAAAAAATGTATGCAAAAAATAGACTGAGGGGTTAAAAAGCGAAAACTATTGCCTGCTCCCATTGTTATTATAGAATGCTGATGTTGTAAATTATTCAGTTGCGCTTTCTTAATGATAAGTCATAATTTTTATCGTCTTTTAGTGTATGGAGCTGGTACAATGTCGACTTTGCAATCCACTTTGGACAGTAGTCAATTTGGTGGCGGGGGACCAGGCAGCAACGTCAATGCCCAGGTTGGGGGAGGGGGAATGATTGACACAACAACAACAGACAATAACTCCTCTCACGATGGAAGCGAAGAGAACAATGACCAGCTGCCCCCTCTGCCATCCTCCATGAGTGGGCCAGGAGCACATGCACCGTGGAATCTAGTTGCACCCCCATATACAGGTAAGCGATTATATTATTAAACTAGCAACCTTATGCGAGCGTAGTGCAATAGTAAGACTATTCTTTATTCAACATAAGTCGCAAATGTTGGTTCCTTTTTGGGGCATATTTACGATTTTATGATAGAACGTGTTTTGACATTCGATTAGTAATAAGTTAACACAGTTGATGCATTTTTAGTTTATCAATTGAACCGAAAAAGGCTATTTGTTTCAAACAACATTACAATAATGACAAGGTTAGCCGGTACTGTGCAAGAATCACAGAATTTTCCGACTCTCAAAAAAACTGCAATTTTTTTTTTCATTTCATTGTTGTTTTTTCTGCGTAGTGAGATAAAAGGAGCTGATGCAAAACTGTAATTTAATAATATTCGGCCTCCATAATAATGTAGGCAAATGGAACAAAAATGTTTCAAGAAAAATTACAAGAAAATCAAAAAGTTGAAAAAGTTTCTAAATTTTTTCAATTTTTTTGTAGGAAGTTTTTGATTTTTTTTGAAGCTTATGGTTTCCAAAAGGGCGCTAAAACTCCAAAAACTAATTTTACTTGCATAAAACTCAGTTTTCAGTGCTCACATCAAGCATAAATAAGTTGCTGTAAGCCTGCTCGCTCGCTTTAGTTTTCGAATTTGAAATAAATATCAAAAATTTATAACTAGTTCTTCTCTATTCTGAGGAAAATTTTTGGAATATTTTGTCGTTCGAATCAGGACTTAAAGAGCATCAATTTGGTATATCACTCGACCCATTCCCATGCTTATTTGTGGTACCTGATTTTGCGTGGAAAACAAAAAAAAAGAAAAAACTAAAACACCCGAATACAAAAATCCTCCCCAGTTTTCAAATGGTCGGAACAAAAACTTGAGTTTAGATTTGTTCCAAATCATTATATCTCGCATTTTCTTGCATATTTCTGGAATTTTATTGGTTTCCAATTTATTACTTGCACAGTTAGTGTGGAGACGTTCAGTTTGTTATATTCAAAATTATTACATTCAAAATTGCGTCTCTTTGTGTGTTGCTACTTTTGCTGCATACCATTGGCAGTTTATTAGCTTATGTAGCTGCTTTATTTGTGTCAGTGTTTGCTGATAGTTCAGCATTCGTGGCCGAGAAGCCAAGGTGTGAGACTGATAATCTCGAGATCGCAGGTTCGAAGCGGATACATAGCAAAGTTCTACTAATTCGAGGCTTATTTCTACTTGCACAGCACGGCGTTTTTTATTGGAGCATTTTTACACTTGCGAACGTCAGTGTTTTAGCGAACCTTCATGCGAACCTGCAATTGAAGGTTCGCAAAAGGTTCTATGGTCGGAAAAGAAGCACAGAATTTTCCGACCATAGTCTCAAAAAAACTGCAATTTTTTTTTTCATTTCCTTGTTGTTTTTTCTGCGTAGTGAGATAAAAGGAGCTGATGCAAAACTGTAATTTAATAATATTCGGCCTCCATATTAATGTAGGCAAATGGAACAAAAATGTTTTAAGAAAAATTACAAGAAAATCATAAAGTTGAAAAATTTCTAAATTTTTTCAATTTTGTAGAAAGTTTTTGATTTTTTTTTGAAGTTTATGGTTTCCAAAAGGGCGCTAAAACTCCAAAAACTAATTTACTTGCATAAAACTCAGTTTTCAGTGCTTAAATCAAGCATAAATAAGTTGCTGTAAGCCTGCTCGCTCGCTTTATTTTTCGAATTTGAAGTAAATATCAAAGATTTATAACTAGTTTTTCTCTATTCTGAGGAAAATTTTTGGAATTTTTTATGTCGTTCGAATCAGGACTTAAAGAGCATCAATTTGGTATATCACTCGACCCATTTCGATGCTTGTTTGTGGTACCTGATTTTGCGTGGAAAACAAAAAAAAAAGAAAAAACTAAAACAACCGAATACAAAAATCCTCCCCAGTTTTCAAATGGTCGGAACAAAAACTTGAGTTTAGAATTGTTCCAAATCATTATATCTCGCGTTTTCTTGCATAGTTCTGGAATTTTATTGGTTTCCAATTTATTACTTGCACAGTTAGTGTGGAGACGTTCAGTTTGTTATATTCAAAATTATTACATTCAAAATTGCGTCTCTTTGTGTGTTGCTACTTTTGCTGCATACCATTGGCAGTTTATTAGCTTATGTAGCTGCTTTATTTGTGTCAGTGTTTGCTGATAGTTCAGCATTCGTGGCCGAGAAGCCAAGGTGTGAGACTGATAATCTCGAGATCGCAGGTTCGAAGCGGATACATAGCAAAGTTCTACTAATTCGAGGCTTATTTCTACTTGCACAGCACGGCGTTTTTTATTGGAGCATTTTTACACTTGCGAACGTCAGTGTATTAGCGAACCTTCATGCGAACCTTCATTTTTTCTGACCTAACTTGCAAATAAAAGTATTCATTAAAAGTGTTCACTTATTTCACTTATGCTATAATCACGATCTGTAGCATTGGAAATTTCATAGCATCCGTTCTCTGCTTTATTTGTCTCTAGTGTTTTTGAATTATTAAGTGTCCGTGGCTGAGTGGTTAGTGTGCGAGACTCATGAATCCGACACGTTGCCCAATTATTATTAGTTCTAGGCGTATTTCAACTTTTTCTTACTGCACTTTATAGAGCTGCTTTTTGTCGCGTTATGGCTAGTGTTTGCGAAGCACAGCTTCACGTCTGTGTTCATCTTTAAAAGCTGGATTTTGAGCTTCTTCAATTTTATTTTTTTTTGTTTTTAATTTTTTGCTTGGTATGCGAAGTGTAATTTCGCTTCTGTTTAATGGAATACAGGCGCAGTAATGTGCCGTCATAGGATCACTCATCTTTATAGGCGCAAATTTTGTGCTATTTTTCGAGATATCAATCTTTGCGTGTTTCAAAATTAAAGCACAATTAAACCTCTTTGCTCAGTCTTGTTTTGTGCTGTTGATACAGGCTACAACCCACCTCCTTCGATGAACTACAGCGCGGCGAACATGTACAATCAACAGCAGGTGTCCTACTCCATGTACCAGCAGCAGTCGAAAACGACTCAGGATTTCATGACCAGCACGCCAATGTCATACTGTGAGTTTGATTCTTTCAGACGGACTTTTCGGAAACATTATATTGCTCTGGTACTTTTCATGGCACCTAATATTAGGCTCTTAATAGACGAATACTACATAATATCCAAATTTCTGTCGTATGTGTGCGGAAAGTTTCATTTTACTTTTAGCGAGTAATATGACTCCCCTCCATCATCACCACCATCATCAGATGGCCAACCAGTATGGGGGCAGCAGCAACCTCAGCGAGTCCAGGATGCCCCTGCTGATGATGAATCCCAACTCCGCTGGAAACCCCAACAACAACTCCCCTGGTGGACCCCACAACCAGATGAGAAAAGATTTCCACCCGCAGCCCAACTCCAACCAATCGGTGGTGGCCAATCAGCACCAAGGAGCAAACGACTCAATCTTCGCGAATGTCATGTGAACAGGGTTGGTATCATTTGATCCACGACCAACAAATCGAGAATAGTTAAAAAGTCCTTGTCAGTATAAACAAAAAAATTTTCGATTCGATTTTTAAATTGAACAAGACTGCTCGTATCAGGGCAAAGCCCTGAATGTTCCGACTGCCTTTTAAGGTTTATGGAGCTGTAATAACATGAAAAAACAAATGAAATGAAATAAAATGAAAAATTTCTTTTTCTAAAATTTTTTTTATAAAAATCATCCCCCCACACGCCATATAAAGTACAAAAGGATAGATTTCGCTCCTTGTAACAAATCAATTATGGCAAATAAGCTTCGTTCAACCAATTTGGAACAATTTCTAAGACGGATTAACAGCGCGTTAATAGCGGGAATAGCGGGAATTATATCGCGCGTTAATTGTCCCAAATTAGCCAAAATGGCAATCTTTAAACCCCCGTAACTTTACGAAAAAAAATCACAGGTAAAATATCTTTTTAAATTTGAGCTCAGGATAACAATACCTTTCGAATGATATAAAAAAATTCCGTCAAAAATGGCTAGGTACAAATTTGAAATTTGTCGGAAGAAAAAACGTATCGAAAGTCGGAACAAAATCAAATTTTATTGAAATTTTTCATTCGATTATTTGTTTTAGGCAACGCAGTGAGTGACCTTGTTTCTTTAACAATTGAGAAAGTTTTGTGAGCCAGAAGAAGAAAAGAGACGATTAAGCCAAAAGGAGTCAAAGTAAGACCTAACGAGCTTTCAATGCTAGTGACGCCAATAAAGTCCCACCGAATCCTTCGCTACCCTTATTAAAACTTGTCAAATTGTACTCAAATTTAAATCTATTTAATTTTGCCCAACTTTTTTGAGTTTTGCTATTTTCTTGTAGAATTGATAATTATATAACAATGGTATGGAATTTCCTCGACCAAGTTTTGGGTTTAGTTTGGTCGAAATGTTATCGTTCATTTTGGCAGAGCGGTCGAGGAATTAACCTCGTTGTTATAATGAATTCGCACAAAACAGTGATAGTTACTACATTGGTACCTAAGTTTTAACCCTTCACAGTTTTTGTAGCAGTGTTTTCAATACTTAACTGACTAATGTTTTGATTCATAGATGTGTATTTTCGTTGCACGATTTTTAGTTTCATAGTTTTTCTTTGCTACTATCGGAGCTGTGATGAGACCTTAATTTTGAGCATATTTTCTCAGGATGATTGGACTAATTCGAAATTTGTTGGAGAATAAGTCCAGAAATAGTTCTTATTGATCTGCGTCTATGAGTATGCTGACTTAAGTATAAACTAAGAATACATAATGTGTTTTGAAAGAAACCAGAAACCAAGTGAAAGACGAATGCGATTTATTATCTCAGCTCATTTGTTCACTTAGTTTCGAAATTGAGGCGATATAAATTTTGCCAATAGATGATTAGATTTAAATGAAATTGCATGATTTTTATGACCAAAACTAAATCAATCTATATTTCGTCTCCACAATATGTAAGAAAAATCTTTTAAAAAAAAAAATGAAATGAGACAGTGTGAAAGGTTACGTCAAATGATTTGTTTTGGCCCAATCCTCTTTTTGTCTTTCAAAGTCTAAAATGCTTGTTTATTTGTAAATTGAAATATTTTTTCAATAAAATATTAAGAATATCTTGTGAATGTGAAGCTAGTCGAGAAATGGAGCGTCCAAAAATATTTGGAGAGAAGCTCGTTTGATCTTTTGCAATTTGCCAGAATTTCTTTTGCCTAGTTACTGTACGATGATCGACTTCTAGTCGAGAATGGAATTTAATTTTCAGATTTCCCAGCGAATAATAAAAATTACACTTTGATCCAGTTTTCTTAAATTGGGTCTATTCTATCGAAAAGTGCCTGTCCTAAATTGCTCTAAAAAGTCCAAAAGCTTTAAGGGCATTTAGTTTTTTCTGTTTAAATTGTGTCCATTGACTCTTTTGCTACTGTCTGCTAGCTATGTTTACAGTATGTACGCAATTACAAAAAAATGGTCAAAATTGAGTCGGACTTTCGTTTGTCTGCATTAAGTTTTTTCGGCTAAAGAGCCACATTAGGGATAATGCTTGTGCTGTAAGCAACTTTCATTGCAGTTGAAAGTACAAGTGTTGTTCATTCTAGTTTCAGGGGGGATTTGAAAATGTGAATTTTTTAAAAAAATTTTTTTTCGAGTTAACTGCTGTCTACTCAAGTTTTATCGGCCAAGAAGTCGCATCACGGATTTCACTAGTATGTAATCAGCTTTCAATGCAGTTGCAAGTGCATTTGTTGTTTTACAAAACAACTTGAAAGATTTACAAAAATAAAAAATCAGCTCAATGATTGTCGTATTAGTCGTTCACCACTGAGTTTTTTGTGGTGTAAACAGTTTTCATTGTCGTTGCAAAGGCAAGTGTTGTTTTGCATTTTCAGGTAAGTAGTAAACTTAACCGAATTTTGCATATAAAATTGAATTTTTTCTCAGCTCAACTAAAGTAAGCTCAAAGATTGTCAACTGTTTTTCTTTATTCGCTTTGTTCCGTTGCTAATTTGATATTCAAATTTCTTGCGTTCTTCTTCTGAGATATAATAAAAGTTTAAAAAATTGATTGATTTAGTTTTCTTAGCTTGGATTTCAAGTTTATTCATTTTACCTAAACAAATCAATTTTTTATGAATAAATTTTACAGCCTCATAGCTTCAGCAAAAATGTTTTCTATTTTTTGTAAGTATCGAAAAAAACGTTGTGAGCGTAGTAATATACGATAAGCTAGTTTTCGAACCAAATAAGCATATAGGGCTAGTTTTGTGCTAGTTTTTTTGCTCATATAAAACGATAAAGTCAAGCAGAATTCAAAAAGTATGTAGGTCAGGGTGGGCTCGATTTCAATCCTCGACTCCAATAATTCAAGTTTTAAAATAACTTTCAGAGAGCCACATGTTTTTCCAATTTCGAATTTAATGAACAAAGTTAAAACCATTTTTTAAAGTAGTAGTTCACTTAAGTTTTTTTTCGGATACTTCAACACTTGCGATAGCAAGAGGCTTGTAGTCGGGAACTAGACATTTTTCCCCAGGACAAGTTTTCCCACAAGAAAATGAACTTGCCTTATTTTTGAACCTGTCAGGTTCCTTCTCACTTGGACTGGAGGCAATGAGGTCATTTTTGTACACTATTGTCTTGTGCTCGACTACCAGCAGGAGCTTACTTTTTCCAGTATGTATAAATTTGATTTTTTTTTCGGTAAAATTCGACTTGTGGGACTTGAATTTGTCTACTCAAATTAAATTATTTCGGCTTCGATACAAAATCACGAAGTCACTATTGTCTTAAGCAAGTAGTATGGTAGTTGCAAGTTTTGTTATCGTATTTCTGAGTAGACTAAGTTTTTTTTCATAAAATCAATTTTCTAGGCTCAACTGGTGTCTGCTCAAAAATTATCTGCTTTAATTTTGCGTCTTAAATTTTGTTCTATTGTTAATTTAATATTCAAATGTTTTACTTGGCTTTTTGTCAAAAGTTAATTTTTATCGAAACATCCAAAAATGTTTGTAGACTTAGTCTTTTTTAACATTTACCATCTTTTCGACTTTTTTTGTTGGTTGTTGGTTGTATCGCAAGTGATGATCTAAAAGATTGAAAACAAAATTTTTCACTTTTACCACATTCAAAAATTACTCTAATGATTTTCATAAAAAAGGGTATCATTGAGAGGACCATTTAATTTGACTGCATTGTCCCTTTATCTCGCCCAACTTTACCGCAGTGTCTGCAGCCTTCGAAAAAGTCTGTGGGGAATCATTTAACCCGTATTTGTTTAGTTTTTTTGAAAATGAAACTTTCAAATCTGCGATTTTGGTTTCAATGGATAGAACGGTTTGTGGATTGCTCCTCTGCATAAATGGCTGCGTCCAAATTTTACTCTAAATTTTATGGCCCTCGCAGTAGTCAAATATATTTTTTTACATTTGAGTTTTTCGAATCAACCAAGAATACAGGTCGAGCAAACTTTTTTTCTGAATAAGCACCTACGCTTAATTTTTTAACTAAAAATCTTTGAATCTTGGAAAAGTCAAACTTTTGATTTGTTGACCGTTTTTGAATTTTTTTTGACTTTTCTTGATAATTACCCTGGCAAATGGGATACCATAGGTTTAATCGAAACAAGTTTTTTTGAAAACCTACTGTTTTGTTGGCTACAACCAATTTTCTTTCGTGATTACGTTTACGCATAACGCTGGCCTTCAAAAAAATGGAAAAGTTTACCGTTTCACTGGTCTTCAAAAAAGCCTTCCTGAAACTTTACCGTTTTCTGATAACTTTTTAATATTAAAAGTTACCCTGCCAACTCTCAAGCTAGTGTTTTTTCGAGAAATCCGGCTTTGTGATTCTTCTACGTCTCAGCGGCAACGACTTAGTTTTGCAAAAAAAATAAGACGTTTTAGATTTCATTTTGACTTTTGACTAGTTTCAAGAAACTTCACAAATTTTTTTCAGAAATACGCAGAAATACGCTATACGAGATAACGGGTTCAATCGAAGAAACCGATTGCAAGAATTGAGTTTTCTGGCAGAAGCGGTGATTTCTTATTTTTTGCAACAAAAATGTTATGTCTTTGACCTTTTCATTTATTTTAAGTAGAGGATAACAAGTTAGAACAAGTTCAATTTTTGAAGTTGCGCGTTCCGTCCCGCATCAGCAAAACAAAATTTGAAAAACCAAACAAAACTAGCAGAATCTTTATTTGTTTTTTTAGTCATGCAAAAATTTTGGCTCAATATACTTTTTTCAACATTTTTCATTTTTTCAAACTTATGATTTTTTGTTTGTGTTGTTTTTCAAATTGTTTAAAGCTCTTCTTCGCCTCTGTGTTAGAAGCTTTAAATATAACAGACTCCAAACAATTCTTGAGTTTTCTGGCACTTAACTTTTCAACAAAGCTATGATTTGGTAGAAACATTCCCTGCTCTACCTCAAAGCAATTTGCGCGAGCGTAATTTGCAATAACAAAACCTTAAAAAAATTGCGGATGTTAATTTTCTTTGTTTCTGGTTTCTCCCGGTTCACTACCTAATTAATGTCACCATTGCGTTAAAAGTTTGAATTAAGGTTTAAATTCCTCATTGCGTTATGATAATTTTTTATCTTTCTAATATCAGGGAGATATATACAAATCTGTACAGGTCTGATAACATTTTTTCTATTATTTGAGGTCGAAAATTTTAGGTTATTTGGTTTCTCTTCTCATCCTTTTTTGTGGTGAAAAAAAAAAGAAAACCGTCACAGCAGAACCAATCGACACCACTACAACATTCGACAGCTCAACAGCAGCATCAACAACTCCGAACAACGCAATCAACCCTGATTTCAACGATCAAATGACTACAAAAACTACACTCGGACACTCCAAACTTCTAGTCAAACGACTCGAACCACTTTTCAGCCGAATTGTCAAAATCACCACAGAAGAAGAAACAGTCTTTGAATTGGTAAACTTCAAAACAGAATATTCGTCACTTCTAAAGCAATTTGAGGAATCGGCAACTTACCTCATCCACCATTCAACAAACGAATCTCAGCCAGAAAAATTCATGTCAACATAAATTGGAATTGAAGACAAAGTAAATAAGCTGGTCAGTGAGCACAGAAGACTACTCAAGCGAAACATCATTGTCACATACACGACTCCTCCAGCAATCAAAATCCACATATTTTCAAACTGCTTCCAGTGCCCTTATCGAAATGAGCGCTAATTCCTCAACATTCAGGTCAACTCAACAGCAACAGCCCTTTTTCTCGTCAACAAACACAATCACACTAAATGAGAAAAGTTAGAAGTTGCCAAGCAATTATCAGCAACTCGCGACAGTCGTTCCGCTTGCGAATAGTTTTGCCGTATTACGGTTTCCTCCAATCACTTTAACGCTCCATATGCAAAAAATAAATACCGCGGCTAAGCCTGCACTTATTTCATCTTCAACAACTACACAGAGCTCACGACTACCGAAGATCAAAATTGACAAGTGCGAAAGTGCACCGATTGAATGGAACATGTATTTTGGCTTCATCCAAGCTACTGTGAATCTCCGATGCCTAAATTTTTACACACTTGCTACCACTGACACTTGGAAGCGCCATGAAGCTATCGCCGGGTGTTCATGCAAAAGGGCTATGTAGGCAAGTGGTGTTGAAGAAGTCAAACAGTTAATTGGTAGACTAGACATAATTGTCAACCATCATGTTTACATACATCAACAGACTACATCAGTTCGGTATGCCTTCGACTGAACATAGACAATCGCTTCTAGCATTTTTTTCATTCATTTGTTCTCGCGTGGAAACATTTCAACGTAAAGATTGCAGCCAACAAATTTTACCACTCTGGGCGAAAACAGTAGGCCCAATACATCATCAACAGCAGTATTCAGCAGCCAAGCGTCTTCAATTTCAGTCATTGGCTCAGACAACTCGCCTTAGTTTTTGACTATTG